GGGGAAGTGGGGGAGATGCATGATTTAATTGTGTGCCGGTATGCGGGATGTTGCGAAGATGGGTGGCGTCATTTCAGCCAAGGGTTGAGTCAGAGGGAGGGGGGCCGTAGTAGAGGGGAATTCAGGTGGTGATACCATCGAGGCCGAGTATCGCGAGAGGAATGGTGGATAGGTGGGGCGGACAATGCCAAAATGTAACACCAAAACCGCACCGACAGCCGACAGGTTGGTGACGGCCAACATTGAATTACACAGCAGGGGTGGTAGGAAAGGTGCGAGCGCCGTAAAGCATAAGCCATTGAGTAGTGTGGATGACGAGGGCAAAGTATAAAAAAAGTCGAGAGAATTAGGAAAGGGCAATTGGGCGAAAGATAGTGTCAGCATCATGCTTTGGGCTCCATCAGGCTCGCTTGGAAGTAGCGCGGGGGTGTGGTTGATATCGAAAAAGGCGGGAAAGTTGACTTACGGATTGATAGTGGGCGGAGGGTAGTGAAGGGTGATGATGGCGAGTGGCAAGAGATAGGGAGAGGTGGTGTGGTGGGGTGTTGATATGGTCGAGGCTACGTCGGTGGTGGTGACTAGCCAATGTTGATATGGACGTGAAAGGGGAGGGGGGGGGCGAGGGAAGCTGGGTGGGTGGGTGATCGGGCGGGAGGACGGGGCGGGGCTGGATAGACGGTGAAAGAAAGCAATCGGCGCGAATCACGGAACTGCCTCAGGCCGTATTATTAGGCTACGAGGCTAGTGTGTACTGCAGGCGGAATTGCTGTTAATCGCGCTGCGCGATATTGGTAGTGTAGTGATTGTGTTGAGTACGAGGCGTATCTGTCACCCGTGGTGGGTGGGTGGGAGATTGGAGAGTTGACTGGAGAAGGAGAAGACGAGTGTCGGGCGGGGGGAGATTGTAGATGAAGGGGGTGGCGCTGGAGTGGGGGGGAGGAGGGGGGGTGGCGGCCTCTCGGCGATGAGAGATAATGTTTTGATGGTATTAATGGAACATTGTCACAGGTTGATGTCGGCGAGGGGTGGTTGGTGGTTGGTGGTGGTGGTGGTGGTGGTGGTGGTGGTGGGTGGTTGTGATGTTGGTGGTGGTGGTGAGTGTGATGTGATGGATCAAGATGAGATGGGGGGAGGGAGGGAAGGAGGAGCGAGGCAAAGGCAAATAGAGATGGCTTATGATAGCAGAGTTATGGCCTGTTCGCAAACTTTCACATATATTTTTGTGGAAATGAAATATTCACAGACCCTTAATGATTGAGGAATAATTCGTATTTTCAGGGA